CACAGTCGTTGCAGAAGACTTACACAGGCGGAAAGATAGGTTGTGCCGATCACTTGGAAGTCAAGCATAGTGGCGCACACTTACAGGGAGGTAGGAGCAGGAGGATCAGGAGTTCAAGGTTATCCTCAGCTACAAGCAGAGTTTCAGACTAGCCTGGGCTACATGAGTACATGAGACTATTCCTCTCTCTCTCTATATATATATATGTGTGTGTGTGTGTGTGTACATATATAATACACTTATTATACGTATCTATAAAAATGAAGGGCCTAATTATTTTCACAATATTCTATACATTCTATGCAATTCTAATGAAAACCCTCTTAGGAGTTTTTACGTAACTGGAAACACAGATTCACGAGGGGTGAGACAGGTCCTGTGAACTATCAATTATTATTATAAAGCTGTGGAAATTAACATATCGGTACAAGGACAGATAAACTGACCTCAGCGTGACAGAAGGAAGAGCTTAGAGACAGACCAGGCATTCATGGAAATTTGATATAGAAGAAAGCTGGCATGCTCTCAGGCCTTGGACAAGGTCAACCCAGTAACTTGCCTACCTGGAGAAGAAAGGGCTCACAAGCCTCCTCGCCTAGCTGAAGACGACTGACGCTGGTGGGTGCTGGGGAAGGCTGTGGCCCTAGGGTTGAGCATACTCCAGCAGATGGCATCACCCCCATGCATAGACGTGCCGAGTAAACTGGACTTGGTGGGTTACTATAAAAAAGCATCCTAGGCCCCCTACACGCGCGAAGCTGATGGGCTGCTTGGTCCTCAAATGAGTCCCCTAACAATTAGAGCACAGGCCGACTCTGATTCAAACCCTGTTGCCTCCCTCTGGATCCCATTTCCCTAGCAGGGCCATTTCACCATCTTGCCGTGGTGAAAGAGGAGGCACTGAGCCCTGATGTGACTTGATGTGCCAGGGCGGGCTGGTGCTTGGGGGTGGGAAGATGGGGAAAACGAGGGTATGGGGCAAGTGGGTGGTGGGTGGGAGGAGAGGAGGGAGTGGAGTTGCAATGGGGTGTAAAATGAACGTATAAATAATTTAATAAAAAAGATTTATGGTGTTTTATTCTTACGTCCGGGAAAGACTTTTTTAAAACAAGAAATAAAAAGGGGGAAGCAAAAAGAAAAATATTAACAAAATATTAAAAATATTAACAATTTTGGGGGCTGAAGAGATGGCTCGGCAGTTAAGAGTACCGTCTGCTCTTCCAGAGGTCCCGAGTTCAGTTCCCAGCAGCTACATGGTAGCTCACAGCCATCTATACTGGAATTTGATGCCCTCTTCTAGCGTGAAAGTGTACATGCAGATAAAGCACTCAAATAAATCTTAAAAAAAAAAAAAATTAAGAACTTTGTTCAAGGGCTGGCAAGATGGCTCAGTGAGTAAAGGTATTTGCTGCCAAAACTCTCAACCTGAGTTCAATCCCTGGAACCCACATGTCAGAAGGGAAAGGCCCTGAAAGCTGTGTTCTGAGCCCCACATCCTCACTGTGGCATGAGCGCCTGCACATGCAAACACAGACAAAGCAAATCCATCAATTAAAATCCTTTCATTCAAAAAGAAGACGTCAAGATTAGAAGACAAAAGTCCTGCATGGGGAGAGACTACTTGTAATATAAATAACCAATAAACTACCTTAAAAAAATTCAGCAGAGAGGATGATGAAAAGGAAGTGGATGAGTCTTAGAATTCATTACATTGGGGGGTGGGGGGCGGGAGGAAGAAAAACAAGCCACGGAAGACTGAATACAATATAATACTGCTTTTACAAAGCTCAGATTGAGCCTGGTGAGATGGCTAACCTGGTAAAGGTACTTGCTGCTAAGCCTGAAGAGCTTCATTCAAGCTGGAGGACCCAAACAGTAGAAGGAAGAGAACCAGCTCCTGAAAGCTGTCCTCTGACCTCATACTTAAGCCGCTGTACTCATCTCTCACCCCCAACGAGTAAATAGATGTAATTTTTAAAAATTATTTTTAAAAGATTCCAAAGTAGGCAAAAATGAAGCAGTTAAAAGATTTTTTTTTTCTTTTTAAGAATACAAACAAAAACGGAAAATTATTTGTTTCTAAAGAAGAAAGGGGGTGAGGGCCGGAAACTAAGATAAAGGTCAGGCAGAAGCCCGTTCCATGGAAGGCAGGCTGCACAGAAAGGTGCACAGGACAGTAGAAAGCGTTGACTGGGCCGTAGCCACTGCACGCGGATTTGGGGTTGTGCTTCTGACGCTGGCTGCCCCCCTGTTCTTGGTGTGCTGAATAAATGTTTTCCTTAGAAGCTGTCTTTTGCAGTACGGGACCTTAAGCAGCTTCCCAAGCTTTTCTACTCCAGCTGCCGGTACCTTCCACCAGCTGTGACAACAAAGATGTCACCAGACATTACCAAGGAAATGACAAAATCGCTCCACTGAGATTCGCCGATCTTCCTATGTGTATTATATACATCTCATTGTTTTAAATATTCTATAATATAACAGAGTTTAAAATTGGTGGCTGGAAGGTGCTCCCCTCTGCCTGGGAAACACCAGCTGAAAGGCGTCATTCAGAGCTGAGCTCCCGGAGCCTGCTGAAGGCCTTTGAGGTTGAGCCTGAAGAGAGGGTGGGCTGATGGTTCTAGCGCAGTTGAGTAGCAGGTGACAGCTCTAGGAATGGCACTCAGTATCAGAAGCCCACAGCTAGTTACACTGGGGGGGAGGGGGGACATCTTAATTTCCCAATTTTTTGAGAAATCTAGACGTTTAGCACTGCTTAAAAATTACCTGCTTGGTTAAAAAAAAAAAAAAATCTACCATACCATTGACATGTACTGCAGATGCTGGACCCAGAGGCTCCGTGCTGGGTCTGACCTGAAAGCCTCCTTCCCTCAGGATGAGCTTTCACAGCACTGGAAGGCGCTGTACAGGCTGCCAAGGGAGAGAGGCAGGAACAGTCCCACCCAGCTGGGATGCCTGTATCCATAACGATGACCGAAGTCAAGCAGTCCCTAAGGGAGCAATAGTGCTACCAGGCAGTAACCGACAGCTCTCAATTAGCTCCAAGGCCCGCTTAACAGGAAGGAAATCATGCCTGGCACTGAAAAACCCAGCCAGCTCCTGAGGCTAGTGGGACCATGGTCTTTCACAGCTGTGAAAGTATAGAGGACAGCCCATCAGGGGTGCCTATCCCCGGTGGACACGCCCACAACACAACCCCTACACCTAAAGCTCAGGAACATGGAGGAAGAAGGGGCAGAGAGACTGTCAGAGCCAGAGGGCCAGGGAGTCTGCTGTGAGATTGTGTCTCCTAGACAGGACAATGAGGCTTCACTCCACCACGCTTCAATAAGATGGCTGCTTAAAAAGACCTGAACAAGAACAGCGACAGAAATGCTAACACAGAGGGGGCAAATCTCACAGGGACCCACTCCTAGACAAAGAGCTACAGGCAACAAGGAAATGCTGCTGGGCGCTGGAAAATTAGCCTTCCCCTGGGATTAGCCCCCTAATAGGCTACGGCTATCTAAGTGGTCAGTCCTGAAATCATATACATACAAACAATACTAAATGGACTCAGCAGTATTTATAGATTTTATACACACACACACACACACACACACACACACACACACACACACAATGTAAGCACAATTAAAGGAAATAAGGCCATGAATTTGTGAGGGAGTGAAGAAAGAGAGAGAGAGAGAGAGACATAAGAGTGGTTAGAATGAGAAAAGGGAAAAGGAAAATGATTTAATTATATTTAATAAAATTAAAAAAATCTTCTGTTACTAGAATAAAAAGAAAATGCTGTCTTGTTACATTCAAATCAAATAACAGCTGAACTTTAAAAATAAGCATGTAAAGAAAAACCTCTATAACTGATTTTTAAAAATAGAGCCCACATTCCTATAAAGCCTTGGAAAAGGTCCATGTGTTTTATTACCTCTGAGGAGCGGGTGAGACCTGTGAAGTCCTCACATGCCCAGGCTAGCTCAAGAAGTAAGAGCAAAGTGATGGAGGCTGGCAGATGGCTCAGGGGGTAAAGGAGCCTGTTGCTAAGCTTGACAACTTCAGTTTGAGCCCCCGGAACCTATACAGTGAAAAGAGGGCCTTGACTCACATTGGTGTCGTCTGACCTCCATACACGAACCTTCCAATAAATATGTAAAGTGTAAGGCCCACACAACGTGGCATTCTGGCTCTAGGAAGTGCCTGAGGGCACCCGCTACCCACTGTACGCCGGTAAATCCTCCATACCTCATTCACAGGCTTGCATCCTGGTCACATTCAACCTCTGATGGGGGGAGCTTATTGTCATTTTTAAACATTTATTGTTATTGGTACTGGTGTTTTGCCTGCATGTATGTCTGAGGTATCAGATCCTGGAGTTACAGACAGTCGGGAACTGCCATGTGGGTGCTGGGAATTGAACCCAAGTCCTCTGGAAGAGCAGTCAGTGGCCTTTAACCGCTGAGACAGCTCTCCAGCCCTATTATTATTATTATTATTATTATTATTATTATTATTATTATTAGTTTGTTTTTTTTCACTGAGATCCACCCCTTCTGCCTCCCGAGTGCTGAGATTAAAGGGGTACACCACCATGGAACAGCTATCTTTATTTTTTTTAATATTAATTTGTATTACGGTTGTGTGTGTCTGTCTGTCCACCTGCCTGTCTGTAGGTCGAGGGTGAATGTCTGTTTCTCTGATGACAAGTGGACAAGAAGGGGAACAGGCAAAGGAATGAAGGGGTGACAAGCTAGGAGGGGTGTGATGAGATGACGACAGCAGATAGCTCGGGAAAGCCCTCTTTGGAACATTGTTTCTTTACCCATGAAACCCCACAGGACACAAAAAATCAAGTGAGGAGTGTATTACAAAGCACGGTTGGTTTCCATGCACAAACAATGCGTATCCTTATTAAAATAATTGCTAAGATGGAACACAGATGGAAAGTGAGGCAGCCATCACCGGCACCCTCATTTTTTTTTTTTTTTGGCACTATTTCTTACCATATGTCTAGCTCTGAGGAGTACTCCGTGGCTCCCAGCAGTGCGTCAGGTGGCCGGTACCAGAGCGTCACCACTTCCGAAGAGTATGTCTGGCTAGGGATGGACTTGGCTCGAGCAAGACCTGTCCAAAGAGGGTGAGGATGGTACCCATTACCCTGGGCCTCTCTGGGAGTACTGGTGACCCACTGTACTGCGGAGCATATAAACAACACGGAAACCAAAACCAAGGGGGTGGGCGTTCCCCCGGAAGCATCCGACCACCCTGGGAAGATTCCTTAAGTTTGGCCCACACTGTAACTGGATGAGGCAGTGGAGTATGGTCAGGTGGCTAAGTTCTTGCCTACTTGGTAGGAACAGAGCTGATGTTGAGCTTTCGGGTCGTGCCCTTTGTGGATGGGTTGTGGCTTCTGCTTCCTCTTCCTCTTTCCTCTGAGCTGTGATGAGCTGGGGCTGACAACTACACTCAAGTATGCCACGAGGCGATATCTGAAGGATGGTGGAGCCCCGTGACAGGTGAAGACTGGGGCTGCCATGACAGCTCTGACTGCGCGGGCCAGGGAAGTTTGTTTCTACAACACTGCATACTGCACTTGCAGCTCTGCGGGAGCAGTGAAATAACTTGGCTCGGGATGATTGTGTCTGCTTTACATTTCTGTACTCTATGGCCCTCTCTGCCAGTTTAGCAGAAAAAGAGGGAGGACTGTTGGTCCAAATTAGTTAATGTGGTAGACTGTGAGGTCATTTCCTCTTAAGGGCTTCTCTGCAAAACAAGAACATTATTGACAGGAACCAGCGTGCCAGAGCTGGAGAGGCAGCCCCGTGGTAGAGCAATCTCCTCTCGTTCACAAGGCCCTATGTTCAATCCCCGGGATCTAAATCAAAGAAAGAAACAAACAGAAAAGTCCCAACCAAACAACAATAAAATACTAGAACCAGTGTGTCATCCAGTGTGGTCGTGCATACTTGCAATTCCTGCACCTGGGAGACAGAGACAGGAGGATGGCTGTCAGTTCAAGGCCAGCCTGATCTTGCCAGTGGGTTCTAGGTCAACCGGAGCTTCATGGTGAGAGCTTGCCATAAGGAAAATCACTGTGCATTTAGTACTGCACTGGGAACACGATGCTAAGCAAGAACAGACTCTCAGCTACGTGCTGGTAAAGGAGAATAGAACTGAAAACTACATATAAGTGTATATGTGTAGTATGTGTTTATGCATTTCTGTATTATGGAGCTGTGAACAGAAACTACGGCATGCTGAAATGGAAAGACCCCGTTGAGGAGGACGTCTGCTTCCATTTGCTAGGAAAACGGTCAAGATGACGTAGACATTTAAGGGTGCAGAACAAAGCATTGTTTCCACTTGTACAGGGGTCACGCTACATTCTAGTGCCATCCTGGGACAGAGATCTGTTCTGATAGACGTAAACACATCTCCTGAGTACCGTCTACTCTCCAGATACCACCACACCAAGAGTGACGGTGGGATCACACGAGGGCCTATTTTAGGCTTCTGGCTAGTCCTAATGGAATCCTAAGAGACTTCCACACTCCCTGCCTCTCGCCTCACATTTTCTGCGTGTGAGTTTGACGTCCACACCCAGCGTCATGTTCTTGGGCTCTAGTTTTCAAAGGCCGAGCCTTGTCAGTGCTTCAAACAAGGGCGTACAAAAGAGTCATTGTTCATAGGCCAGAAGCAGACCTGAGGGGCGACTCACCAAAGTCAGCCAGTTTGAGCTCTCCCAGGTGACTGATGAGCAAGTTCTGAGGTTTCAGGTCCCTGTGAAGAACACGCTGGTGGTGGATGTATACCAGGCCCCGCAGAAGCTGAAACATGAACAGCTGGAAGAGATGAACACCATACCTAAGGACACTTGAACCACTGTGTGCTGATTTCGCCTCTAAATCAAAAACGCCCCTCTAAAAGAATATAGTGAGAGTGTCTCTTGAGAGATGAAAGGAGGGAGAGAGAGAGATTTTTTAGAATCATTCAGAAAGAGGGGGAAAGGGCAAGGGAATCGTGGCGACTGCATTTCAAACAAAGGATTCTGGCTCCTCCTGCCATCTTGTTCCCGATAATGAAGGAGTTGCCCTTCCTTAAAAACCTAAAGTGAAACTTTGGGGTCTCCTTAGGAGGAGCACTTGCATTGATTTAGATGTGAATGATATATATATTTTTTCTGCACATGAACTCTGCATGTCAGGTCCAAGTTGACCTGGAAACGGTAGTCTGGAATTTACAATTGCTTTGTTTTCCCAGGCTCCGATAGGGACCCTTTTAAACCTATCCCAGGAGACACAACTGGAAAATGTATTTTAAATGGTGTTGAGAAATGAAGGGGTGTGTGTGGGAGAGAGATGGCTCAGGAGGTGAAGGTGCTGTCTGTGAGGCCTGGAGCCCTTTGCTCACCGTCTAAAACACATTCAGCTGGAAGGAGAGAATCGACTCACAAAGTGGTCCTCTCACCTCCGCCTCCATGAGCACTCACAGGTGATGGTCCGTTTGGTTTGTTTCTTTGTTGAAACATGAGAAGACTAAATAAAGGAACCATTGTCTTCATGAATTATCTTTAAACCCTTAAATTCAAAGTTGAGAACAAGGGAAATCCATAGTGTATGTTAGAAGGGAAGGGAGTGAGCTCCGGGAGGCAGGCAGAGATAGTGGGTCGGCGGAGAGCCTGACCGTGGGCTCTGTACCTAATTAGTCAGCACCCACTTCTTGCTGTTCCTCTCTGTCCTCCGAGCATTTGTAAGTGGGAAAGCCCAGGGGGATTTAAGAATGGTATTTCACAGCATCTTAAAACCCTAGCCTTACCAAACCTCACCACCCACTCACTCTTCCACGCCCTCAAGCCAGGTTCTTCCTCCAGCAATTACAGGAGAGCCAAACCTGAAGGCGCTTTCACAATTAGCGTCAAGTTGGATCTTGGCCTCTCTTTCCATAGCTGCTTCCCACACCCCAGAGTTTGGGAGCCATGAAGTAAGTCTATTGAGTTAGTGCCATCTGGGCTAGAAGGCTCTCAGAGCCACAACTGGAGGCTTAGCACTGGAGAGGTTGAGGAGGGAGGATAACGTGTTTGTAAGTTTGAGGGTAACCTGGGCTACATATTAAGACACTGTCTTAAAACAAACAGACAGACAGACAAAGAAGAGAGCAGGAAACAAAAGAAAAAGCGTAAAGATAGACTACAATGGGACCAAGCAAGTCTGGGCCTTATTGCTCCTCCAGCCTCAGTGAACAATTGTCTTCAGAGCATTTCAAAATCTTTAATGCAAGGCAATTTCTCGTGTCATGGTGAGCCTGTGTATGTCAGAATACACCTCTCAGGAGCCTGTTGGTTCCTCCACAGTGGGTTCCAGGATCAAACTCAGGTGCTCAGCTTGTGTGGCAAGTGTAAACCCACTGAACCATCCTACCAGCCCCCACTTTATCTTTTGAGACAAGGTCTCTCACTGAACCTGAACTTTGTTGTTTTGGCTGGAGTGGATGGCCAGCAGGCCCCAGGGATTCACTTGTCTGCAGTCCCATCGCTGAGGCCACAGATGCCCAGCACCACGCCTGGCTTTTGAATGGCTGCTGGGGCTCAGAGCCGGGAGCCTAAAGCTTCTTTAGCAAACTCTTCACCCCTGAACCATCATCTCCCCCGGCCCCGGAACTGCTTTTGACTTTTAGACTAACAGACTCTGATGTTCACTTGAACATCCCATAATGCCCTCGCTCAGCAGGCTAAAGCTTAATTCACTATATTCCTCCAAAATCCGTTTCCTTCCTGGTCCTCCCTCGCTGGACCCACCTCCATCCATCTTGTTACTCAAAGGCCAGAAATATTCTTGCTGACTCTTCCTTCACCCATCAACTCTGGATAATTGATCGCAGACCCAGCCACTTTCCCAGAACCGCCGCACATCTGTAACTGTTGTCTTAACCAACCTCACTGTCAAGGCTGTAATCCAGCATTTACGAGTCAGCAGAGGAAGAGGATTGTCAGCGTGGGAGTTGGAGGTGACTGTAGAAGGTGAATGTCAAGTCAAGGGACTATAACACACACACACACACACACACACACACTCCAGCTCCACCTCATGTGGTCTCAACTTGAAACCTTTTTTCTGTGGCAAGGCCAAGGCCCTGGTTTCACCCAAGAGGTGGTCCCGAAAAGGTGGGAACTGACACCGAAGGTGCTGCTGTGCCTCCAGCTGCACCACATGCGATAGCTGTGATGCCCTTAGCCCTGTCCTCCTTGAGTCTGTCTCTTGGCTTCCACCACCAGGAGTCCCAGGGATGACTTGCAGGCCTTGAAGTGGCTTGCTTTCATCCACCCTTTCTCTTACTGCTTAGCACAAGAATCCCACTGTGAGTCTTGTCTCTGTGCTCAATCTGCATTCCAAACCCAGTGTGCCCGCGGGCCTGAGACCTGTACTTCAGCTCCCAGCCTCCACACTCACCAACTCCTCACCTGCCTACTGCTCATTTCCCTGTGGGCGGCCAGCCCCAAGTGGGCCCCAAGTAGGCTGGATACGTCTAAAGCCCCTTCCCTTCCTCCCCAGGCCAACTTCTCCCATTTTGGTCAATGTGGCTATCACTCTGCCGGTCAATAAAGCTCAAAAGAAGAAAAAAAAAATCACTCCTGTTTGCCCATCCACCTCCTTTCCTTGTCATGTATAGCTGGTCAACAAGAGCTCACTGAAATCTCCTTACTCTCGTTCACATCCCTTCCCACTTCTGCCATCACTACCGGTGTGATGAGATTCTTACCTGGCTCCCTGCCACTCAAAGTCGGTCTCCCCACAACCTCTGCCTCACTGTGGATAACGCCAGAAGCTCATCCAGGCTTGATGCCGGATTTACCAAACCAGGTCCTCAGCCATTCACCTCCTCACTGATCTGACAAGCAGCAGGCTAGCGCACACCAGAAACTTCCAACCGGGATTCCTGACTCTAGCCTCTTCTTCCTTCTAAAACTTTTTTTTCTACACAATATATTTTGATATATATATTTTGATCATTTATTCCCCCTCTCCCAACTCCACCCCACAGTTAGATGCTTGCTACCAAGCCTGACACAGCCTCAGTTTGATTACCATGACCCCTATAGAAGGACAGAACCAGTTTCTACAAACTGCCCTCTGACCTCCATACCTGTGCCATGGTGTGTGTGTATTCCCAGCACCACACACAAAACTAAAGAACAAAGTGTAATACAAACAATTAAACACCAAGAAAACACTTACTTCTTTGCATAGCTACAAGACCAGTCCTTACTTTTCATTAGAAATTGAAATGCTTTTCTATTTTTACTTTATGTGTATGAATGTTTGGCCTCCATGTTTTTTGTCTGTGTGCCACCTGCATGCAGTGCACATAGGCACAGAAGAGGGCAGCAGATCTTGTACAACTGGAGTTACAGATGGTTGTGAGCCATCATGTGGGTGCTGGGAACCCAGGCCCTCTGCAAGAGCAACAAGTGCTCCTAACCCTTAAGCCATGTCTCCAGGCTTTATCTCTCTCTCTCTCTCTCTCTCTCTCTCTCTCTCTCTCTGTATATCTATCTACAGAATGCAGCCTCATCTCCTTTTGTAGAAAGGCTCTTAAGGGCAGGAATTGTGTCTTCTGTGTTTCTATCTTTCTCAGCCTTTCAGTGTCTGGTATGTGAGTTACTCAAGCCCCAGATCTGTTTTTCCCCAAGGGTTCTATTTAATCAGTCTCTCTACTTCCTTCAGCAGTGCACTTTCTCCTCAGCGTCCTGCTTATCTCAGCATAACGATCTGAGGCTAGACGCAGTCTAGAAGCAATGTCAGTTGCATTGACTTCTCTTATCAGTTTCTCCTAGACCCTTGTTCCACTGGTTGTTATTCCCACATCTAGCAAAACTCCAGTTCTGAATTAACCGAAATGTCTTCTGTCCTCCACCCCTCTACTGGAATATTTTTTCCTTTTATTTATTTCAATTTATTCACTTTGTATCCCAACTGTAGCCCCCTCTCCTATCCCCTCCCAATCCTGCTCTCCCTCCCTCTTCTCCCCCTATGCCCCTCCCCCAGTCCACTGATAGGGGAGATCCTCCTCCCCTTCCCTCTGACCCTATCCTATCAGGTCTCATCTGGACTGGCTGTACTGTCTTCCTCTGGCCTGGTAAGGCTGCCTCCTCCCCCCTTCCTCAGGGAGAGGTGATCAAAGACCCAGCCACTGAGTTCATGTCAGACACAGTCCCTGTTCCCCTTACTAGGGAACCAACTTGGACACTAAGCTGCCATGGGCTACACCTGTGCAGGGGTTCTAGGTTATCTCCATGCATGGACCTCGGTTGGAGTATCAGTCTCAGAAAAGAACCCCGGGCCCAGATTTTTTGGTTCTGTTGCTCTCCTTGTAGAGTTCCAGTCCCCTTCAGGTTTTTCTATCCCCTCTCCCTTCTTTCATAAAGTTTCCTACACTCTGTCCAAAGTTTGGCTGTGAGTCTCAGCCTCTGCTTTGATACCCTGCTGGGTAGAGTCTTTCAGAAGCCCTCTGTGGTGCTCCTGTCCTATTCCCTATTTTCTCCCTCTTCTAATATCTAACCCGTTTGCCTTCCTGAATGAGGCTTAGTATCTTACCCAGGCTCTTCCTTCTTGCTTAGCTTCTGAGGGATAAACATACTAAAATCTCTACTGGAATTGTTAAGTACTGCCACTTTAAAAAAGGAGAGTCAGTGTGCTGGAGAGGTGACTCAGTGGTTATGATGCTGGCTGCTCTTGCAGAGGACAGGAGTCGGGGTGCCCAGCTCCCACACAACAGCTCATAACCATTTGTAATTCCAATACCAGGGTATCAAATGCCCCCACCCATTTTTCCTTCTGTGGGTGCTTGCAATTATGTATACACATAATTGCAAATATTCAAAAAATAATAAATCTCGTAAAACAACATTAACAACCTCCCCCCACAAAAATAGGCATGTGGACAATTTAATGTTTTATCCTCATGAGGGTCCTTGAGACTACTACACATTTCCTTTTTCCTTGTTTCCCTGTCTACTTCTCATTCTCTCTACCTCCTTTTCTGAGACCCTCCCCCCTTTTCTTTTGATGGTGGTGTGGAGACAAGGTCTCTAAAGCCCAGGCTGGCCTTGATCTTGAGCGCTTCCTGCTTCCACCTCCAGAATGCTGGGACTGTTGGTGTATGCCACCACAAGCTTATTCCTGCCTAGTTCTCTAGCGTGGCTCCGCACTGCTTTTTAACTTTTATTACTCCTCACCATTCCTTGTCTTTAAACCTCCCTCTTAAAGGTTTGCTCCTCTGAGTAGGCTCTTTCTGCTTACTAAGTGTGCCATAGAATTCCTGTGCACATAGCCAAGCACTAAATGTTGTGTTTCTAACTAACTAATAAAGGCCATGCTGTACTTTAAACTCATTGCAGATAAGAAACACAAACTCTTCAAAATTGAATCGTCAGAACTTAATGCAGCATTCAGTACTCAATGTACAGTTCTTTAATAAATGAATAATATTTGTTTATTAAGCATAATTAAATATTAAACATAAGTAAACATTACCTAAATGAATAGTTACACCAAATGCAACTTTCATATATTTCACTGCTGTCAATAAAACCCTGAGGAATGAAAAGTTTAAAATACAAATCGTTTCTAAAATGCATCACATATAGAATTGCAGCTAGCAAAGGGTTTATGATTTCTGCTCTGATGAAGTAGAAAGTGGGATTTAGCCTCTTGTGTATAGTAGGACCTGCTAGACTAGGCATTACAAACTATCACAGGCCCCAATAGCCTGCTAAGAAAAGGGTCTATTTCATACTGGCTCCTGCCTCTCTTCTCTCCCTTTGACATAATTATATTTAACTGGTCCATAAATCTAAACACACACTGTTGGGTTAGGCTGTATAGCTACACATCTTTGTATCTTGAGGAATAACTTTTTTTTCCTTAGAGTATTGATGATAACTATCTTTTGGTTTGCTTAGCTGTTGTTGTGAGACAGGGTCTCACACTGTAGTCTAGGCAACCTAGCACTCACTATGTAAGCCGGGCTGGCCTTGGACTCACAATAATGCTTTTGCTTCAGTCTCCAGAATACTGGGGGATTAAAGGCATAAACCACTATGCCTGGGCCCGTGTTCTTTTATCAGATCACAGACTTTACTCTGGGATGGTTGTCTGTTTCCAGATGCTCCTCCCCTGGCAGGCCAGAGGAGAGCCTGACTGACAGTACTCACCCTGACATTGTGAGGATGAAGTCCTCCAGGATGCTGCGACATGTACTGGGCCAGGTCGGTGTGCTAAACAAACCAGTGAGAGAGAGAGAGAGAGAGAGAGAGAGAGAGAGAGAGAGAGAGGGCAGAGCAAGTCAGTGGTGCATGGACAGTACCCTACATCGCACCGTAGACCCGATGAGGAGATACAACAAAACCATCCGAATGTTTGAGACTACCGTGTAGGAGAAAAATAGCCAGATTTTTCTGATACCCATTGTTAAGGTCAGATATAGTGTGCCTTTCTAGCTGGCTGCTGGCACAAGGGAGCCTGCTTCTTGACACAGAGATGCTCATGTGAGTGGCTGACACAGAGCACAGCACAGGAAGCCTTCACTTTCCAAGTGGCCTTGAAGGCAGGTCAAGTACACTTACCTCAGAGTTTCTTTTTGTTCATTTGAATCTTTTCTTTCCTTTCCAAAATACAAATTGAGTTATTCTTTATTAGTCTTATATATGGTCTTTAAATATCTTGTGTTTTATGTCCATCCATTTAGTCAAAGGAACAAAATCAGATTCTACTAGTAACTAAAATGGCCCTCAAAAAGTCCAAAGTTTTATGAGAAAGCAAAAATCCTAGTTTATTACTGGTGGTGAGGGGGACACGACAAACAAAATCCAGGTGAAGAAGTACTAATTGCCAGCCTGGGACATCAATGAAGGAGCAGGCATGGTCTGGACCTAGGCCCCCTGCATATATGTGGCCCATGGGCAGCTTGGTCTTCATGTGGGCTGCCTGGCGAGTGTAGGGGAGGAGACTGTTTCCATCATGGATTCTGGTGCCTGCTTTTGGATGCCCTACCCCTGGCAGGGCGACCTTGCCTGGCCTCAGGGAAGGTAGCTCAGTCCTGATGTGACTTGATGTTCTGGGGAAGGTTGATATGGGGAAAGGGGGGGCTCCCCTTTTCTGGGGGGGGAGGAGAGGGAAAGGGGAGGAGGAGAGAAAAGGGAGGGACTGGGAGAGACGAGGGAGAGGGCACCCTTGGGATGTAAAGTAAATATTCTAAAATAAATTTTAAATAAAAGAAGTACTAATTGCCAGTGAGAGCAGCAAGGTCCCGCTTAGCACATCAATGATCCATCATACTTTCACATCATAATGGAAGTTTTATCGTGCCATAAAATATTAACAGATTTATTATACAAGTACTAGGTCATTTCCCTCGTATGTAGTAAGAGTCTGGAGAACTCACCATGTATTCAAATACGAAGGTCAGAGTCTCTTTGGTGTGAACAATGTCATGTAAGAGGATGATATTGGCGTGCTTCAAACCCTTCAGGAGAGATGCTAGAAAGATTTAAACAAGATGTTACAGCAATCACTGATAATGAAAGTGCCTCTTTAAACCTATTAACCAATATTTATTTTTTCTGTAAACATTTCAAATCAAGCAGTCTTGGGTTTTTACTGCTGAAATGAATCTCTTCTGGAAGAATATCTGAAATGACAAAGGACCTTTATCACTTTAAAAATGGTGAATCACTGTATTTCCACAACTGCCTTCTCTGGCCGGCTTGATGGTTGCAAACAATGCTTCCATCCACCTAATCAATTTCCTCAGAGCACTCAGAGCACTTTGTGAGGCTCTCCTCTGAGATTCTCACCATCCCAGCTTCAGAGCTGTAGGAGCCTGGGCTCAGAGACACACAGGCCATTGGAGGAGCAGGAAACTGGCTGTTCCACTGCCTTTTAGAGCAGGAGTTTGCAACAAGTGGCAAAGCTCTGAGAGCCAAAGACCAGCTGGGGGCCAATGGGGCTGATAGATGGGGTTGGTGGGAGGGAGGCTCAGGTGCAAAGAACAGTGGTTACCTATACAACAGGGAAGGCTTCTTGAGGGAAAATTACCTCATCTCCAGAAATACAAACTTGAAAGAGAACACTGAGCTTGGGGAGCCTTGGGGAATAGGGGTGCTGACAGCTGTCTCTTGCCTATTCAGTAACAGGTCATTGTTAGGTTTCTAAAAGCAGCCATTTATTATTATTATTTATTTACCTATTTACATATACTGGGAATTAAGCCCGGGGTCTTGCTTCAGGCATTTTACCAGTGACATAGCCCATTGTTACCTCCCAAAAGCATCCAACAAAAGAGGAGAGATTGCCACACAAGACCCAGAAGGTTGTATTTGGGAGTTTCAGAGAGATGGAAGACCCATGACCTCAGAAGGATGAAAACAAAAGAGGCATACAGAGATGATAAGTCTCAGCATGAAGAAAATAGTGTCTTTGAATCTAAGGGTGATGCCTGATATGACTATAGGACCAATAATCAGGTGACTGAGGCTGGAGGTTTACTGCAAATTCAAGGGCATCTTGGCCTACAGAGTGAGACCCTGTCTCAGAAACAAACAAAAGACTTAAAAGAATGAAACAGTATGAAACTCAAATCGTCAATATATGTATGTGTGTATTTAGGACATAAGAAGCAGAAATATAAGGTGGGAAGATCTCTAAAGGGAGAGAAAAGAAGAGGGCAGGGTAGAGGAGCAGAAAGACAAAATATCACATGTTTCCTCCCACAGGCAGAGTCAGGATTTAAATACATAGGGGGCTGGGGAGATGGCTCCGTGGGTAAAGCGCTGCCATGCGAGTCTGCGGACTGAAACTCAGATGCCCAGCGCCCACATAACAGCCAAGTAGGAGTGGCGGCCTGTCTGTAATCCCAGGAGGTGGGCAAAGCGGATCTCTGGGCAAACCACCACAGAGACTAGCTGAATCAGAGAGCACAGGGTCAGTGAGTGGCCCTGCCTCCCTACACACTGTGGGAGTGATCAAAGAGGGGAGTTCAGGTCAACTCCTAGCCCTGTGTAGAGAACAGCACACATGCACACACACTAAAAACATACATGCATGCATGCATACATACATACCTACCTATTCAAAATGGGGACTGTTTGGTGGGAAGAAAGGGGTCAATGATAGGGAGGGAGAGACAGGAAAAAGAAAAATTCTAATAAGATACAATGGGTATGAGAAGATCATAATGAAATCCCATTATTTTGTCCTCTAACTAAAACCATGAATAAAATGAAAGAAAAATAGTACGTTTGAAAAGAAAAAAAAACCAAAAAACAAAAAACAAAAAAAAACCCTCAAAATCAGTGTTCTGATCATGTGCCTCCATTTCTGCTTGACAAATCTTCCGCATCACCTCTTTCCTCCTGAAGAGTTCTGCAAAATTAAGAACAGACTGTGTGTTTGTGGAGGTGGCTCATTGGGCAAATCAATGCTTGTCCCACAAGCATGAGCGCCTGAGTTTGGATCCCCAAAACCCAAGTAAAAGTGGGGTGTGTAATCGCAGCACTGGGGAGGCTGAGACAAATGATTCCAGCGGCTCATGGGCAGGCCTAGCGCTCACTGTGCTCCAGTATTCATCAACAAATAAGGTGGAGAAGCCACTGAGGACACAACATCTATCTCTGGCCTTCACACACCCAACCACACATGTTACAAGCACATGTGTGTGCACAGACACGCATCTCTCCCCCTCTCCAGATGAACTGCAGTGCTCTCTGCAATCTGGGAGCATAACGATTCCCTCAGGAACCTGTCCTGTCACGCTTGCTTCCCGACGGTCAGTCTCCCCTCTAGCGGGAACACCATTCTTTCCCTCACTCCTCTTAGTTCATTCCCTTCTATTTGAGCTACTCTGCCTTTACCCAAGAGTGGCTGTGTGACCTAGAAGTGTCCACGACTGGACATTTCACAGACACTGCCCAGTTTCAGTGACGATTGGTTCAGAGACAGGCAAAACCCAGCTGCTCGGAAAAGCCCTCCCCCGCTCCCACTGTTAGTAAAAAGCTGCTTTCCTTTCCTCTCCGTGGGATGTACCCAGGAGCTAGTGGCTGGGAACAGACTACAACACCTGCTCACAACAGGCCTGGGCATAGAGGAAGGCAGAGGTGCACTGTGCTGGAGCTCAATGCAGAAGGCCGCAGGTTCTAGCCTCAGCACCACACGCACGCACACATGCACACACACACACACACACACACACACACACACACACTCAATCGCTTGATCTCTCCCCCTCCTCTTTTACCCCCTCTCACAAGATTAAGGCAGAGAAACCAATTTGGTTCATGGTGGCACTGTTAGTGCCAGGCAAGCCTGGTGGTTGTCAAAGCGGTCACCACTCTAACTCCTTTTTAAAGTTAGTTTGGGCTATGAGCAGCAAAACATGCCTTTAATCCCAGCACTCCAGAGAGTTCGAGGCTAGCCTGGCCTACATAGTGAGTTCCAGGACAGCCAGAGCCACATAGAACGATTTGGTCTCAAAAAAGAAAAGAAAAGAAAAGAAAAGAAAAGAAAAGAAAAGAAAAGAA